GGTGGGGCCTCGGGTGACTCCGCTCACTGAGGGGTGAGGACCCCTGTCTTAGTGTCTGTCCCCCGACCTCGGCTGGACTGCAGAGGGCCACCGTGATGTGCCCGGCCTGCCCCACCCAGCGCCCAGCCCCAGGCAGGAGGGGCGCTCTTGACTGACACCTGTCAGGTAACAGCCGTGAATGGCCAGAGCTCAGAGAGGACCCCTGACTTGGAGTCTAAACCCCTTGCAGTTGCACCCCAAATGGTTGTACGTCCAGGGTCTCAAACTCCAAGCTATGTCCTCTTCTGGGACTCAAGATGGTTCAGGTGCCACCGGAACCGCTGCTTCTCCCTCGCTGACACGCTCACCGGTGTCTGGGGGCCTCTCCTCTCTGCCGTCTGACCCGCTGAACGCCCCTGAGTTAAACCAGCTCCTGGGTGGTTGAAGGAGGGCTGTGGCTCTGGGTGCCCTGGTGCCAGCGGGGCAGGGCTGGTGGGTTGCAGCTGCTCGCAGGAAAGGCATTGGCACGGGGGGGGGTTGTGTCCATTCAAGGGGGCATGAAAGTGTGGGGTGTGGACAGGTGGGCCCAGTGTTCTGAGTGACTTGCTTTCTGTGTGTGGGTCTTGGTGTGTCAGCTGTGGCGTGAGGCTGGTTGACTTGGCCGGTGTGTCCTCTTGTTCTGCTCCCAAGCTCACAGCGCGCCCTCGCCGCTGCCCTCACTGGGGACAGTCTGCGGCCCCGTGCCGACAGGGGTCCCCTCTTTGTTCCTCGGTGGCCTCACAGGCCTGTCGCTGAGAGCTGTCCTGCTCCTGCTCTGTTGGGGGCCACCCTGTGATCGCCCTGTGACAGGTGCTGCTGTGGCAGTGCCCAGGCTGGCCCCGCTGGTGACGCGGCCTGCCTCACTGGGACGGGGGGCGGGGGCTGTGAGAGGTCGGCTCACTGTGCTCCGTGGAGGATGGCAGCTCACACCAGCAGATTGAGAATTTGACAAGGGTTTGTCATCCCTCGAGCCAGTCTTTCCGGGGCCCTGAGAGAACAGAGCCTGGGAAGTGTGGGGGGGGGGGCGTCTCTCATTCCCAGGGTGCTGTGTGCTCAGTGCTGCTGTAGATACACGGGTGCCCGGGGCGGGTGATGCTCCGCCTCCTGTGCCGGCTGCAGAGACGGGAGGGGCGAGAGCTTACCTGGTGGGAGGGGCAGGGTTGGGGACATCGCTTAGGCAGTCGCAGGACCTGTAGCTCGAGGGGGTGGTTGGTTTCAGTGCCAGGCGGCACTGGGCCCCCCACCTTCCCCCGGGATGGCCTGCAAAGCTGGGAGTCGGTGGGTGGGCGCTGTGATGGAGGCCGAGGAGCAGGAGGGGCTGTTGGGCCTCTTTCCAAGTCCGAGAAGGCAGGGAAGGAGCGGCCCGCAGGCACGCAGGTGCCCAGCAGGGAAGGTGGTGGCAGAGAGAAAAGCTTTTTATTTCAACCTCTTTCTTCAGGCCACAGGGTTTGGGGGTGTCAGTCTCTATGGTGCTTGGATCTCGCGACTTAGTCTGAAACGTAGCGTCTGTTTGGCCTCCAGCTTGCGTTAGGGAAGGAGCGGCCCGCAGGCACGCAGGTGCCCCAGCAGGGAAGGTGGTGGCAGAGAGAAAAGCTTTTTATTTCAACCTCTTTCTTCAGGCCACAGGGTTTGGGGGTGTCAGTCTCTATGGTGCTTGGATCTCGCGACTTAGTCTGAAACGTAGCGTCTGTTTGGCCTCCAGCTTGCGTTCCGGGCTGAGGCCTTGAGGCCGCAGGTGTCTCTGGCAGCTGCAAGCACTTTCTCCCCGGTGGAGCCTTTTCCTGCCAAGGGCCGTGTGGACATTAATGACATCATCAGCTTGAAGCCAGCCTCTCTGTGTTCACTAACTCACCCCTATTGCCTGGGCAGGGCCAGACCAGGTGGTTCACGGATCTTATGCAGCCTGTGGGCCACACATTCGCCAGCCCTGACTTGTGTGATCTGACATGATTTATCGTAACCTTTATCTTATAGAAAGAGTGGGGGGGGGGCAATGATGAAAGACACCTGCTCTGACCCGGCTCCACCACTGACCGCACCTCTGGGGGCGGAGTCCTGTGTCGCTCTGAGAGCTTTAGGTGTTAGGTTAATTTTTATGCCTTTTTAAAACAGCAGCATTTATTCTGCTCCCAGATATAAAAGAAAACTCCTCATCAACGATTTCGGAAGAGAAAGGAAGTCACCGTTGGGAAGGTAAGCGCCATTCGTGTTTCTTTCCTGAGTTGACCTGCCATTGGCTATGAAGAAGAGCGCGAGCAGGCGGGGCTGCCGTGTTGGGCGTTCCCCGAGCAGCCGTCTTCACCGCGAGTTGGGGTGGGGATGTGTGTCTGTGATGTGCTCACTCCCGTGGGGACAGGCTCTGGGGCGCATGGGGGTTGGGAGCCCGAGGCCAGAGGCCTCCGTCCCGTGCGTCTGCGCTGTCTGTGCGGTGACGGGAGTGGCGAGGCTTGTTCTGGGCTAACGGCCTTCTCTCCAGCAGTGACTCAAAGGCGCCGTGCACAGTGCCCGCCGACCTGGAGACGGACGAGAGTGTCCTGATGCGGAGGCAGAAGCAGATCAACTACGGGAAGAACACCATGGCCTACGACCGCTACATCAGAGAGGTCCCGAGGTAGGCAGCCGGGCGTGGGCCGGCCACGCTGCACTGCAGGCCACGGAGACGCGCAGGTAGCAGATCTGGTTCTGGGGCTGCGCCACCTGCTCATGTAAACAAAGCCGGGGCTGGTGCCCACAGAGAGAAGGTTTAAAACCACGTATTCGCCATCAGAATGTGGTAAACGTCTCAGTTCCCCAGACCCACAGCAGTCTCAGGACGCGGTCGTTAAGGGCGGTGGGGACGGGAAGCTCACACTAAAGGTCTTCCTGAACGCAGAGCAGCGCCGTGGGGACGGGCAGCCCCCTCCCTGCTCCCGTGGACTTGCTCTGGACAGGGCGCCCCGCAGGGCTGGGATCCGGGCGCACGTTCGGGGCGTGGGTTGGGGAGGCGAGGCAGAGGCAGAGGTGGTGGTGCAGCCGCTCCTGTGCTCCCGTGCAGGCCAGTGGGTCTGTAATTCACAACAGTCCTACCTTAGAGTCGGGGTAACCGAAGGGCCGTGCCAGCGTGAGTGCCGAGTGCCAGGACCCTGTCCCTCCCCGCAGGCACCTTCGCCAGCCCGGTGTTCACCCCAAGACCCCCAACAAGTTCAAGAAGTACAGCCGGCGCTCGTGGGACCAGCAGATCAAACTCTGGAAGGTGGCCCTGCATTTCTGGGACCCTCCGACCGAAGAAGGGTGTGACTTCCAGGAAATGTAGGTGCCTTGCCTTCTTGTCCTCCATGGCCGCTCGCTCGCGCCCCAACTGGAATAGCTGGTACCTGCAGCCAGCTGTCCCCCTTCACGTGCACTTCCGTCCGCACAGCTTAACGCGGGGGGCGGGCTCTGGGGTGGAGTCTGCTTCCTGGATTGAATTTACATTTTGGAGCTAGAAAAATAGAGCTTAGAAAACCCGAAAATATGGGGGGGTTTCGTTTGTTTTTAAGATAAACATTTAAAAAATTATTTGGGTAATTTATTTCAAACTATGAAAGTAGGTCTTTTTTTAAACTCAGAAAGGTTTCCCCTCTTCCCGGTGGTTTTAAGCTTGTGCTTCATCAGGAGGAGCTCGGGCCCAGTCGAGGCCCGGCTGCGCTGAGGGCGCAGAGAGG